TGCTGGTGTGGGACGCCTGCTGCAGTGGGACGCCTGCTGCAGTGGGAGGGGCTTGTCAGGACTTCTCCCCTGCCGTTTCTCTTTGAGAATAAAACCACCGTCTCACAACCACTTTATCAAGATCCACCTTCTGAGGGCACGCTGGGAAAGTGGTGATGTTGCAGCATCAGTGTTAGGACACACCTGAGAAGGAAGATAATAATAATTATAATAATAATAATAATAATAATAATAATAATAATGTGTATGTGTTGTCATCAATGGCAAAATTGGCTCTCTGCATTTAACCCATCCACCACCAGGTGGAGCAGTGGGCAGCTGTGGAAAGCACCCGGGGAGTAACTGGGAGTAAGGTGTCCTGCTCAGAGACACCACGAGATGTGCAACGACCGGGGCTTGAACCTGGGACCTTCGAGTCGACTGCCCTGCCCCTACACCATCTAGACTTCCTACTTCGATGGTGTCACAAAGGAGTATAATGACTAGATCACCATGGCAACATATTGGTGTTAACCGCTAATACGAAGTGCAACTTGTGGGGAGAATCCTACGTGCACGTTGTGTTTCATCACATTTGAATAGAGGTGTGTCTCGGGAGGAGTCTCCGTGCGCCCAGGTCCACTTCGATCAGGATGAACAGGATTCACGGACCGGATCATACAGATACTTTCTCGTTTTTAGTGTTTGTCGTGTTTCAGCAGGAAATCCACGAAGGTCTCTGAACTCGAGGCCTCGGGACGAGAACGGTCCCACAGATTCAGTTTTAGTTGGAGAATGAGATGTTGTAAATACCCCTCCGTGGTTTTATGAAAACCTCTTTGGTTGCAGAATTATGAACTTATTAAAGCCCCTCTGTAGGATCAGCTTGGATTCATTTAACCAGTGGAAAGTAGTCCTCAGCGTCTCACAGGTGTTTATTTATTCTGCCTCTTTCTTCTCGGCCCCGAGGTGAGTTGGTTTGTTGGAACTGGAATGACTGGAAATGAATGAAAGTGTATTTATGAACATGTCTTTGTGCTATCACAGCACATATTTGTGATTCCAACACAACAAAGGAACGTCCGTCACTCTTGCTGACAAGGATTAACAGAACTTCAGGGTCCAGTCAGCTCAGAACTTCCTCATAGCTTCTTTTGTCTCTTGTGTTTTTACTGTCGCCGGCTCCACCTGAACTCTTCTGTGCTCCTGCTCAAGGTTGTTTCGCCTTCTGGTGCTGCCCCTGCTTTGCCTGTCAGACCTCCAAAAAGTTTGGTGAACATCTGTGCACCCCTCTGCTGGAAATCTTCGGCTTCTGTGTCCCACCGATCACCATGTCCATGAGGGTCGCCATGCGACACCGCTACGGCATCAAAGTAAGACCCAAAAGCTGCTCAGCTTGTCCACAAGTCACGTCTTTTAGTGCCAGCTGCTGAACAAACAAGAACCTGAAGTGAATCGAACGTTCACCCCACCCTCAGTATCAAGACGATAAAACTATGTACATGTTCTGTGTATCCTCCAACGCTCAGAGTTGGACGTCGTGTAAGATGAGAATAAAACGCAACATTTGTAAATCTCATAAAACAATGTATTCACAGTGGAACGCCTCGTTAAAGTTGTGTTTCCAACGACCTCTCCGTCGCTGATCGGAGCCAGGAAGAGGCGTTAGAATAACCTGCTGATGTTTCACCTGTGCTCCGCAGGGAACCCTGCCTCTGGACTGCGTTCACGCCACCTTCTGCACCATCTGCACCTGGTGCCAGATGTCCAGGGAGATGGAGAAGAGGAACATCCAGATCGTCCTGGTCAACGCCAAGAACACATGATGTGGCTGTGGCGGCTGGACCGAGCCCACGGCAGAGCCCGGCAGTGCTTCCCGTACAGATGCTGCGTGAAGTCGTGTGTGTTTGTACTGTACGAAGGAATCCTGCCGCAGAGCTGAAGGAACCTTCTCTTAAACTTTGTGGGTGAACCAGATCTTTATAAGGACATAAAATATATGTTTTACAGTTAGGAAATAATAAAAGCCAATGAAAGATGTTACTTTAGGAAAAGAACATTTATATATCTATTTTAGGTTGTGCCAGACAATCACATAAAGTATTTTACAATTAATTTTACGTGTCGTTTTGATTGATCATAAATCTGTTAGAAAACACTGATTGATCTTATTTTGGGTGTTTACACAGAACAAGAAAAGATAAAGAAGAAAAGGTTCAAGTTAAATCTACTTTTAAAAAGTTTAAATGTGTTTTGATTTGCTGCTGTTTTCTCTTAATTCGATCAATAATTAACTTGATCTTTTATCAAAGTGATCAACCTTTCAGGACATAAAGCTTCGACTTTTGGGACTTGGGGGCCCAGATGGGGTGGAGGCAGGGCAGCCGACCTGGGACCAACAAGTCGCGGTTCGACTCCCCAGCCATTCCCACATGTCGTGGTGTCTCTGAGCAAGACACCCAATCCCTAACTGCACCTCACACAGCTGCCCGCTGCTCCACCTGGGTGTATCTCAGGTGTGATGGGTTCAATGCAGAGAACTAATGACGTCATCGAAACATACAACGATGACAACCTTCACTTCAACACTGAAACTTGTGTGAAACACAAGACAGACACCAGAGGGCGACAGAGGCTTCAGAATCAGTGTTTAAGATCCCAGCGAGACCTGCTGTCCTGTTTCACCTCCAGGAAGTCGCATACATGAACAGGAAGTCCTATACATGAACAGGAAGTCCCATACATGAACAGGAAGTCTCACATTTGTACAGAAAGTCCCATACATGAACAGGAAGTCTTACAACTGTGCAGGAAATCCTACATGGGTCGGCTGAGGCTGAGTGGTTCGAGCAGTCCTCCAATGCAAGAGTTGGGGGTTTGATTCCACCAGCAGTCCCATGCCAAAGTGTCCCTGGGCAAAACACTGAACCCCTCATTGCCTCCGATCTGTGTCTGATCTGTGTCTGAATGTGTAAAGCTCTATTTTCTGTAGAGATCTAGTAGAGTGCATGAATGGGTAAATGAGGCAGAGATTGTTTTAAAGAGCTTTGAGTATCTTGATAAGATAGAAAGGTTCTATATAAGTACAGTCCATTTACCATTTACATCTGCACAAGAAGTCCTACAGGAAGTACCATACCAGTACAGGAAGTCCCATACCAGTACAGGAAGTCCCATACCAGTACAGGAAGACAACCAAACTTTGAACACAACTAATACCTTTGTTTTTCTGTTTATACTTTCTCTTGTAAGTTTTTAGACTGAAATATTTTCACCTATTTCACCTCGTTCAGAATGTTTCGGCTGCGACTTTTATCCATCCGTCCGTCCATCCATCCATCCATCCATCCATCCATCCATCCATCC